GATGGATGGATGGATGGATGGATGGATGGATGGATGGATGGATGGATTGATGGATGGATTGATGGACAGATGGACTGGTAGATGAATGAGTAGATAGATGAGTGGATGGATGGATGGAGGGATGGATGGATGGACTGATGGATGGATGAGTAGATGGATGCATAGATGAGTGGATGGATGGGTGGAGGAATGGATGGACAGGCTGATGGATGAATGGGTGAATAGGTAGATGGAATAAACCCCTGGAGTCTCTTGTACTCAGCAAACCTCCTTTCTTTTCTTCTAGCCTCTCAGCTGAACCACATTTCCTGGCCTTCCTTGCAAGTCTGTCAGTGGGATCTGGGGGTGAGGTTAACGTGTCTCATTCCTGAGGCTGGCTCCTGGGATGATAGAACCATGAGGAAGGAGTCTAGGTCCCTGAGAGAGAGGAGAGCTGTTGTAGGATGCTGTTTTAAAATGTGTGATATTTGTTTATGCTATGGAACATTTGTTTAATCATGCAAAGATGCATTGTATTCTTTTAAGTTGCATTTGTTTAACTCCGAAGCTGTGTCTGCCTAAAACACTTGTTTGGTTTAATAAAGAGCTGAATGGCCATAGTGACGCAGGAGAAAGGACAGGAGGAGCTAACATGGAGAGAGAATATAATATATAGGAAGAGAAAAATAAGGAAAAAAAGGGGAATCTAGGAGCAAGAGGAAGAGGAGGACAGAGTAAAAAGTAAAGAAATACAGGATAAAGATAAAAGCCCAGAGGCAAAAGGTAGATAGACTAATTTAAGAAAAGCCGGCTAGAAACAGACTAAGGCCAACAACAGAGAGCCACCAACCATCACCTTTGTTTAGCTCTGCTGGGCCAAGATGCACACTTCTACAACACCTTTGCCCTCAGCATTAGGCTGCATCCTCATGGCAGAGTTGAAGGGGAAGACTTCATTGAAGACTACAAACTCTCAGGAATGGAAAAGACAGTGGTGTTATCAAGAAGTTCACAGAGACTCCTCTGCAACACCCCTGCATCAGGCTTGCCCTTCCACAGGAATGGGGAGATCCCCACAACCCAGCCTCCTCCTCCACCTTCAGATGGCTTAGGTGGCCGGAGAGACCCAGCCTCCTGTTGCTTTCCTGCTTAGCCAGCCCTATAGCTGAGACTAAACCCTCATTTCTTTCCCCAGTATCCACCCTGCCAGGCCTTCTCCAGGAGACCTATCCTCCATCCACCTCTCCACCCCTCTCCTCTCCCCAACGCCCCTACCCCAGGACAGGATGCTTTGTAATTCCTCCATACTTAGAGAGGAGAAAACATTGGATCTCCTTCTCCCATCTCCTCTGCTCTTTCCTCCCTCCTCTCTCCTCCCTCCCTCTCTCTTTCCCTTGCCTTCCTCTCTCTGCCATGTATTCAGGTACAGTAAGAGGGAACTTCTAATAAGTCAGAGGCAGAACCCTTACAGAAAGCAAGTCGGCCATCATGCCCTTAAACATCCACCTCCAGAACTGAGGGGGTGAATGGACTCCTTAAGTCACCCCTCATGTGGGATTACACTATAGGTCCCGAGAGGACTGAGACCCCTGCCCAGGCCCTCTTCCCTCCACCGCTCCTCTCGGACTCCTCTATTCCCCCCAAGTTCCTCTTCCCACATCCTTCTTCCCTCTAGCCACCCCCCATTTCCCAGCAGACC